GGGGGGAGAAGCACCCGCCGCTGCGGCGGCGATACAGAAGCAGCGGAGGCGGAGGGAGACACGGGAAAAGCGATTGGATGGGATGCGAAAGAAGGGGTTGTGAGGACCGAAAATGGAATTTCCAACGAGGTAGATTTTGGAAAACGCCATTTTCTTCGGTAAGATTCCGGCGAGAGAAAGAGAGAGATTTCGGGAGGGTTTGGAATTTTCGTCTGTAGATATCAGTATTTGCACTTTGACCCTTCTCAAGGTATATCAATTATCAAGTCGCCCCACTGAACTCATAAAATTATATTTCAGCCCCAATAGATATATAATTGCAGTGGAACAACCCAATAGAATAAAACAATTTCATTTAACATTGTACAAAATTCAAATCAGGCTTATTCTCCATGTTTTAAATATTTTTAGATTAGACACATATTTATTGTCGTAAGCCAAATAAATGGATTTTAAAGAGATTTAAAGAAATCATTTTTTCTATTATGTTATCTTAGCGTTAGTTTAAAAATGTTATATTTGAGAAAATGAATAAAATAACAAATAATTCAGTTAAGTAATTGTTATTATTTCTTTAATTTTTTTTAATAATTAAAAGTATGTGTTTTTCCGGGTAAACCTAATAGTTTTAGCATTTTTAACCTTGAGGTCACTCGAAACAAAACGTTTTCCCCCACTTCTGTATTTTTTTTAACAAAAATGATGTATTTATTATAATTTTTCCCAGTTATTAAACTCCATTTTTATGTATTATTATATTTTTTAATAATTAAAAGATATGTTTTTTCGGGTAAAACTAATACTAATAGTATGAGTTTGAGCAATTTTAGGTATTTCTTCAGAATATAAATTACAAGATTTACCACAAACCCAAGAAATCTCTCTCTCTAGAAACCCACACGGAGTGACGCAAACACACACAAATCAAAACTCTTAGCCTCAGTTAGGGTCTCTCGAAGCCTCTCCTTTCACTTGTGCCTCTCTCTCTCATCCGAAGCAGCAGAAGCGTCGTCCATGGCGTCTCACTCTGCGAATCTCTGGGTTCTTCTAGGGTTAGGCCTCGCCGGAATCCTTCTGGTCACTAAAAAGCTGAAGAAGGCCGTCCGTGAAGACTTGGGCGCCTTCGTCGAGAAGCTTCTTCTACTTCCTCCGCCGCAACCAGCTCCTCCCAAAGCCCCTCATCCCCTCACCGGCCTCTCCTTCGCCGTCTCCGACGTGTAAGTCTCCGGACACCGCCGCCGTATATCTGTCCTCTTTCTGGCGAATTTTCGTGGCTATAGGTGATTGAGTTTTGGTTGGGTTGTTGCAGTGGAAATTCTTATGCTCTAGGTTCAAAACCCTACAGATGTTCTCTCTCTTATAATGCCTGTGCGGAATTTGCAGGGATATAGTTGAACAACTTGTCTCTGTTTTTGTGCCTTTGAATCAATTCTGCTTTTCTTCCAGCTGTATGAAACACTGAAATTTACCTGCTTTACTTACATACGAACTTGTGGGTTTGAGCTTTTTTCCTGATGCTATATTGACCTTCTTTCCCAGATTCGACATCAAAGGTTATGTGACGGGTTTTGGTCATCCTGACTGGGTCAGGACCCATGAAGCTGCTTCTTCGACAAGTCCTGTGGTCTCAACTCTTGTTGAAGGGGGAGCCACTTGTGTTGGAAAGACTGTGGTTGATGAACTTGGCTATAGGTTTGTCTGTCCTTCCTTATGTGCGGTTAATATGTTGCTATACTGTGGATATCTCTTATGATCTGGAGTTTGTGATTCCTTGTATGGAATTGTGTTTATTATTATTATGGGGGTTTAATCGGTCTGGTTCATGTTTTTACGGATTTCTTTTTCCAGTATCAGCGGAGAAAACAGGCATTATGATACTCCCACGAATCCTAGTTCTTCTGGTCGTGTTCCCGGTGGCTCCTCCAGTGGAGCTGCAGTTGCAGTGGCGGCTAACATTGTGGATTTTGCTTTAGGTGGGTTCTGTAGGCAATCTTGATTCCTTTTTGAGACATCTGTGTTTGAGTTAGGTTGTTGGCTTTTCCCCTTAAGCCTTGATGGTGAAATACCGAATATCCCATTCAGAAACATGGTCCATAGTTCTGATTCACGAGGAACTTGTTTAACGGTTCTAAACATGTTTTAGTAAACTGTCGATTACTTTTTCGTCAGGGTAGCAACTTCTCACCGCACTGTAGTCTTCATCAAGATACTTTATGGCCTCTAAGCTCATTTGCATTCATATTGCTGGCATTGTCTGATCAATTTGAACTAATTAGTTATTATGCATTTTATGAACTGCTTAATTTTGGTTCTTATGGCTATAGCGTATACTGTTTTCCAAGAGTAAGATCTTGATGACATGCATAATTTCAGGCATTGACACAGTTGGTGGGGTAAGAGTACCTGCTGGATATTGTGGCATTCTGGGATTCAGGTCTTCACACGGAGTTGTTTCAAATGCTGGAATCATACCAGTGGCTTCTAGTCTAGATGCTGTTGGTACGCATTCATAAATCTCGAGTTCCTCCTGCAAACAAAGATTTGTTATTATATAGAGAACTGGCTTTGCGTTATATTATAATCTCACATGTGCCTAGTATGAGTTTGATTGATGGCTTACAAAAATATGTGGGCTCCTCCTTTTGCTGACAAGCTATAGTTCTTATGCGTGAAATTCTCGTTGAATATGGGAATGGATTATTATGGTATTGGTCCTCCTTTTGCTAACTCATAGGTTGTATGAACGCTGAGTAAAGTAGGTTCTGATCAGAAAAGTTTGATTCTTTCAGGATGGTTTGCACGTGATCCAAGCACTCTGCGCCGTGTTGGCCATGTGCTCTTGCAACTTCCATTCGCTGCACAGAGGAATCCGAGGCAAATTATATTGGTTGATGACTTCTTCCAGTTGGTTAAAATTCCAGTGGACAGGATCTCTGAGGTGGTTATCAAATCAGCTGAAAAGCTTTTTGGAAGTATGCACCTTTTGTCTTCTTTGCTCACACAGTTCATATTTGGTTGCATTCCTGTTATTTACCCGTTCTAAAAATCCGTTGCCTATTCTTTTGCAAGGGCAACTGCTTAAGCATGAAAACCTGGAGAACTTTTTTGAGTCTAAAGTTCCGAGTTTGAAAGACTTCCGCAAGAGGAAAGCCATAGCTGATGATGCAAAGATCCCGACAGCCAAACTGCTTGGAAATCTGATGCATCTCCTCCAAAGGTGAGGCCAGTGTCTAGTTCCCTTTTAAAGGATATAGAAGATGATTTTGAAAATATGAGCTTGAAATGAACTTGGAGGGTGTGTAGGCATGAGTTTCTTCAAAACCATGGGGACTGGATCAACACAGTGAAGCCAGCTGCTGATACCGTGATTCCTTCACGGGCATGTGAAAACAAGGAGCTGACAGATGAAGATATCGAGACCCTGAAAGCAATTAGGAGCCAGATGCGAGTGGCTATTGGCTCTCTTCTCAAGGTATCCTCTCATTCATCCACTTCATGGTCTCGTCTTTGAGCAAGTTGGTTTGTCAGCATTATCTCTGACTTTTTCTGATTTTCCAAATCTCTACCAATCAATATGCATTAAGGATGATGGAGTTCTGGTCATTCCAACCACGCCCTCTATCCCTCCAAAACTCGGTAGCAAGGAAATTACATCGGAGGAATATCAAAACCGGGCTGCAAGTCTCCTTAGCATTGCAAGCATATCAGGCTGTTGTCAGGTGGCCTCTCTTGCTGCCTCCTCTTCTTCTGATTTGCCTTAGAAATGTTTTTAAAACGATGATTAGATTCACATTCTTCAATTACAAAACAACCACCAATCGGTTTTGCTTTCATCAAAACTGAAACCAACTGCAACCCAATCCCACTTCTCATTAGCCAGCTGTTCTTCTACCTGGGCCTGCCTTATTATGACAATAAACTATGTTGTCTTTCGATGAATAAGGCGACTGTGCCGGTGGGGCATCATGAGAAATGCCCTGTATCAGTTTCCTTCATAGCAAGACATGGTGGTGACCGATTTTTGCTAGACACGGTGGAGACGATGTATGCATCTATGCAAGAGCAAGCCAGCATCGTTGCCAACTCCAAATCCTCAAGAAAGACTATGAGCCAAGAGGAGTCTGCTGAGATCTCAAAAGAAAAGGTTCGTTTCGGTTGCGTTTATTTCATCCCATTAGATAACGATTCTCGCCTTATGATCATGTTTACAAGTAAGATGGAAACGGAAAGCAGGGCAACCAAGCGTTCAAAGAGAGGCAGTGGCCGAAAGCTATAGGGTGCTACTCAGAAGCTATAAAGCTAAGTGGCAACAATGCTACCTACTACAGTAATAGGGCTGCTGCATACCTTGAACTTGGAAGGTAATGTGTGTGTGTTTCTCAGCGTAGTGGTTTTCTCTCGCTGCGTCTCTTTCTTTGGCAAGTAAATCCACATCTCTTTGCAGCTTTATCCAAGCTGAAGCAGACTGTACAAAAGCCATCGCCATTGATAAAAAGGTAAGTCAAGTTTCCTTCCTCTGACTAATAAAAAGCCAGGATTCTGCAGAGCAGTGATCATAAGAGTGAAATGTATTCAGAACGTGAAAGCTTATTTAAGAAGAGGGACCGCAAGGGAGATGCTGGGCTATTACAAGGAAGCCATAGACGGTGAGCCGTCTGATCGTGTGTGTATATATATATATATATATATGCATACAACGGAATAGGATTGATTGTTCTTGTCAATGCCAGAATGTGAATTGATGGGATGTTGTTGCTCACACTGCAGACTTCGGACACGCCCTGGTTCTGGAGCCGAACAACAAGAGAGCGGCTCAATCTGCGGAGAGGCTGAGGAAGCACTTCCAGTCGCCAATTTGAAGATTTTGATACCAAAAGAAAGAAAAATGCCTGCAGGCAATAATCTCAAATGTCCTCTTTTTTCTCTTTTTGGTTGGATTTCTCCACAGCATAGGCCAATTTTGTTAGACCGCCTGCGATTTGCCATTTGATATAAAAAGGCTGGAAATTTCCATGTTCTATCTGGTTTTGGGTGGTCATTTGGATATTTACCGAATAAGACATAATCGTATCCGAACTGAATCCGACGTCAAAACCAAACAGTTATGATTTTTTTAACCTGAAAAAAAAACGAAATCAAATAAAAAAATATCCAAAAAATTGACATTTTTAAAAAATAAATAATTTTTTTTATCAAAATCGAATCGAACCAAAAAATATATAAAAACCGAATGAATACAGTTTTCCTATGACCGATATAACTCGAATATAATCAAACCAACCGAACGTGAATCGAAACCCGAAATCGTCACACCTAGTTCTGTCTAAAATGACGGGCTTACTCTTAATTTTGAAAAAAAAAGGGAAAATTTGCACCAGTATCCAAAAATGTCACGTCATTAGAAATCTATACCTTTTTTTCATTCCTTTGCAAACTATACATTTTTATAATTTTTTGACAAAAATATCCTTACTTTATTGTATAATTTCAATGTTGCCATTATTCAAAAAAATTACAGCATAAAAAATATATTTTATTCAGAAATTGTGTTATCTCGAAAACTATTTTTTCATCCGGAATAATTATTTTTTATCTGTGAGAATCTGTTTTTATTTGATTTAATTGTTTTTGTATACGAAAAAAATAATTTTTTATCAAGAAGAACTGTTTCTCGTCCGAAAAAATTATTTTTTCATTCGGGAAAGACTTTTTTTTATCCGAAAAAAATGTTTTTTTATCTGAAAAAGTCTATTTTCGTTTGGGAGAATACTTTTTTTTGAAAAAATTGTTTTCACATGAGAAAAAATGTTTTTTATATAAAAAACAATTTTTTTTTATACCTAAGAACTATTTTTCATTCGGACCAAAAACGTACACTCGCGAACGAAAAACAACTCCCTCGAAAAAAACAGCCGGACAAAAAAAAAACTTTTCCGAACGGAAAAAAGATTTTTCCGGACAAAAAACAATCCTCCCGGACAAAAAACAGTTCTTTCGGACAAAAAAAAGATTCTCCCGGATAAAAAAAAATTCTCCCGAACAAAAAAAATTCTCTCGGACAAAAAACAGACTCTCCCGGACAAAAAACAGACTCTCTCGGACAAAAAACAGTTCTCCCGGACAAAAAACAGACTCTCCCGGACGAAAAACAGTTCTCCCGGACAAAAAACAGTTCTCCCGGATAAAAACAATCTCTCCCGGATGAAAAATAGCTCTCCCGGATTACACGGTTTCCAAAAAAATCTGCTTTTTATATTGCACATTTATTGGGACGCTAAATGGCAATATTGAAATTATACAATAAAATAAGGGTAATTTTGTCAAAAATTTATAAAAAGATTAGTTTGCAAAGCTCATAACTATTGTCATATTTTGCAAAACACCACATCTTTCTGTCACAGTTAACTGATAATCCAGAAAAAAAAAAGTGTTTTAATGGCATGGATTGAAAATATAGTTAGGCCCAAAATCGATATTTAAGTTCCACGCGCGCATCCGAGAGTGATTCCAGAGAGTGATGACCTTCGCCATTCGCTTACGGACCAACCAAAATGGCGTCTTCTTCCCAAAGCCTCTCTCTTTCTCATCAATCTCCATCCTCGAATCTCAGAAGAACGATGTCGAAGAAGCAGACGAGTCAATAGATGCAGAGGATCATCGGCACAGCGTTTCCGACCGAGCGTACTGGACACGACGAATACATTTTCTCTGCACTGTCCGACGCAACCCTGACGAGGCTCTTCGGCTACTCGACCGTCTCTGCCCCCGCGGCTTCAGCCCCGATTCTCTCAACCTCAACAGTGTGATCCACGCCCTCTGCGACACAGGTCGCTTCGCCGAAGCTCATCGTCGGTTTCTCCTCTTCGTCGCCTCAGGATGCGTCCCAGACGAGCGGACGTGCAACGTGATCATCGCGAGATTGCTCGATTCGGCCTCTCCGGTGAGCACATTGGGGGTTGTGCACCGTTTGATCGATGCCAAGAGGGAGTTCGTGCCTTCTCTGACGAACTACAACCGTTTGATCAATCAGCTGTGTTTGATTTCTAGGGTTATCGACGCGCATAAGCTTGTATTCGATATGAGGAACAAAGGGCATCGACCCAATGTCGTGACTTACACGACCCTGATCAGCGGCTACTGTGGAATTCGAGAACTCGATGCTGCATATAAGCTGTTCGATGAAATGCGTGAGCATGGCATAAACCCGAACTCTCTGACGCTGAGTGTTCTGGTCGGAGGGTATTTGAGGAGGAGAGAGATTCAAAACGGGCGGAAGCTGATGAAGGATCTCTGGGAACACATGAAGGATGAGACTGATACATCAGTGAAGACTGCGGCTTTTGCTAATCTCATTGATTCTTTATGCACGGAAGGGTATTTCAGTGATGTTTTCGAGATTGCGGAGAACATGCCGCAAGGCCTGTCTGCGAATGAGGAATCTGCCTACGGCCATATGATGGACTCCCTCTGTCGAGCCAGGAGGAATCATGGAGCTGCCAGGATTGTTTATATAATGAAGAAAAAAGGGTTTAAGCCAGGCACAACATCTTACAATGCTATCATCCATGGCTTGTGCAGGGATGGCGGTTGTCTCAGGGCTTATCAGTTGCTAGAAGAAGGCTCTGACTTTCGGTATTTCCCGTCCGAGTATACGTATAAGCTCCTCGCGGAGAGCCTTTGCAAGGAACTGGATATCGACAAGGCACGGAATGTTGTAGAGCTGATGCTGAGTAAAGAAGGAACAGATAGAACAAGGATCTACAATATCTATCTTAGAGCTCTCTGTTTGGCGAATAGCCCGACTGAGATCCTAAACGTACTGGTCTGTATGCTCCAGAGAGACTGTCAGCCTGATGGGTTTACACTCAACACGGTCGTCAATGGACTTTGCAGGACGGGTCGGGTGAACGAGGCCATGAAAGTGCTGAGTGATATGATGAATGGAGAGTTCTGCCCGCCAGATACTGTGACTTTCACTACTGTTATGGGCGGGTTGCTTAGCGAAGGAAGAGCAGAAGAAGCTCTTGGTGTGTTGAACAAGGTTATGCCTGAGAATGGGTTTAAGCCCGGTGTTGTGACCTACAATGCTGTCATACGTGGGTTGTTTAAGCTCCATCGGGCGGATGAAGCTATGGGTGTATTTGATCAAATGGCAAAGTATGGAGTAAGTGCAGATAATACAACGTATGCTATTATCATGGACGGGTTGTGTGCTACGGGTCAGGTGGAGGCGGCAAAGAGATTCTGGGACGATGTGATATGGCCTTCACATAGACATGACAAATTCGTGTACTCGGCCCTGCTGAAAGGGCTTTGTCGATCTGGTAATCTAAGTGATGCTAGCCATTTCCTCTACGAGTTGGTGGATGCGGGAGTGGTTCCTAATGTCGTGTGCTACAACATTGTGATTGATGAGTGTAGCAGGAGAGGGTTGAAGGGAGATGCGTACCAGATTCTGGCTGAGATGAAGAAGAATGGTCTGGCTCCAGATGCTGTAACTTGGCGGATAATCGATAAGCTGCATGGCCATGGCCATGGCCATGGTCATGGCCGTGGGAAGAAAGAGTGAGACCGTGATACCGGTCTCTGAAAGGATGTATGATCAACTGGATGAGAAGAGAGCTTCATAGTTCTGGGTTAAAGCCTATTGCCTCGTGAACATGACGACATGACCGGTGCTTGAAGTAAACCCGCAATGTATGGGTTGCACAAGCTAACCCAGCCTTGCTTCAGTCGAGTTCTTTAACCAACAAAACCATACTAAGAGAGATCCGAAAACTGCAATTGCTAAACAAGTACAAAAGCAAGACGTGTTTGTTGTGTATCCTATGTATAGAAGATGTCTTCCTCCTGCATAAGATCACAACAGAGCATTGTACAGTAACTGAGGTATAATAAGGCCAACTGTACTTGTACTTTTAAACTTCACCAATGAGGAGGAGCTCCCACCTTTAGCTGAATGTGCTGGTTCATTTGTCATCATAACCTTATCACAGCCAAGGCAACAACAACATAAACTAGATCGAAATCCAGGAAACATTAAGGACAGATAGACAACACTCTACACTAACACGACAAATCAATCCAAGATCCATGTCCATAGTGATCAGACAAGACAAACTACTTGTAGATAGATGTACAAATGAGAAGAGGAAACAGTGGGTGGGCAGGGAAGGGATCAAGCCTGTTGAAGAAGATGACGAGACTGTGACTCCCAGAAGAGCCTAACGGTGTTATAGATAAGAGAAGGCTCGGCCATGGCACCATTGCCATAGTCACCACAGGCAAGCCTCTTTTTGATGGGAGGAATGAGAGTGATTCCCAGCTCATCAAGCGACACCAGGTGCCGTTCTGTGAAAGGGTTGTTCCACATGAATGTGTTCATTGCCGGCGCTACAAACAGGGGTTTGCTATAGTCCCACGCCCTCACAATGCACGTCAGCAGATTATCACACAGTCCTCCTGCTATCTGTACAATCCGAGAAACAAATTTTACGTTTGTATTTCCAAAACTAAAGCTGTACTTTCATTTTCTAACAAAGAGATCTTAAGCCGAGTGCTAAGTTGCTAACGGTTACTCACATTCTCGATAGATATACATATGTGGCTTCCAGTACGATACTTGAAATTGTACCTTGCCAAGTGTGTTTGCAGAGAGAGGAGCGATGACCAAAACATCGGCCCAGCGTCTGAGTTCAATGTGAAGGACGGTGTCTCCTATTTTCTTCCAGCTGGACCATTCATCGTCGTCGGTGTAGAGAGTCACTTCCTGAGGGAGTGAAAGCCTGTCGATGAAATGCAGAGACGATGACGAAGCCACCGCCTTCACTTCTGCCCATTCCGAGAAACAATGGCAGAGGTTTCCAAACTTGATCGCAGCCACACTTCCACTCGCAGCCAGCAACACACGCGGCTTCCTCTCTACCGTTTTCAGTTCCCTATCTTGATCTGTCTGAGCCATATCCTACACGGCATATATACGAAACGAAAATATGCTCAAAAGCGACAAAAACATGTCACGAGAGTGGGCCAAATACATTCTGAATACACCTTGAAATTGATATGGATTGCCGTCTCACGGATATCCATGCGGAGCAAACCCAACCCGGTCACCGACGGGCATGAGGCCGAGGGATTCGAATACTATAAAGGTGAGGGATCGGAGATGGAAGATTGAGAGGCCGAGAAAGGGGCTTACGGGAAACGAACCACTGTGGAAAAGGCGCCGCAACTGAGAGAGGGAGCGGAGACATTGGGGTTTCTATCACTAACCACGACTGAATACAGATTATGCACGGATTATACACTCTCCGTCTGAACTACAGAAAGTCATACGGCGTTCGATTCACCGCACGAACCAACACTTTAGATTAATATAAAACCGAGAGCAGTGTAATTGTCCTCAATCGATTCAGAACCTAAAACTCCTGACGAAATATTCCGTTTCGGAGCGAACTAGAAATCCAACAGGAGAAACCTCAACCATGAAGAAAGAAGGGGAAGAATCGCACCTTGGAATTGGAAAGCGACTAAGAGCCGCCTACTTTCCTCGTTCTCGGCAGAAACAGAACCCTAAAATGAAGAAATTTGAAACCAAACGGGCGCTCAGGATCTCAACGAGACATTTTAGCTTTTAGGAGGGAGAGAGAGAGACGACCGCCATGGATGGGCCTTGCAGAGAATAAAAGAGAGAAGAGACCGAAATAAAAACGATCCGACCCACAGGTTGAGTTCGCGTTTTGTCGGGTTTGGGTTTAAGTCTGTGTGGGCTTAGACTCCCAACATTCGTTTCCCTTCTGACAACTAACATTTGGTCGCCGCAGCAACACATTTAAGCAACCTTCTGTGATCATTTTACTTATTAACCAAATACTCGAATCAAATCGAATCGAATAAGATATAACCGTAACCAAACTAAATCCGATATAAAAACGAATAGATTATAATTATTTTAAATCTGAAAAAACCGAAACCGAACCGAACCGATTAAAAAGGGGCATTTTACTCAGATGACCGACTTGGGTCGCAGTTATTTCACGCGTACACCACAAAAAACATAACGTATTAAATTTCCTTCGAAAAGACCATATTACCCTTAATGAAACCGCGTAATTTGTCCATTAAAAAAGGAGTTGTAATTACGACATCATAATTAATTCTAAATACATTTACAATTGATTCTAAATAAGATGGCAAAAAATACTTTTTTTTTAGACCTTCACTTCTTATACGATCATAATTACTTCTTTTTTAGTCGTATACTAGTTATATAACACTCGTAATAAAAAGTCGTAAAAAATATAAAAGAAATGATATTTCGGACCTTTGGAACAAAGAAGTGTTATAAAATTGAAAAAAAAAAATTATTTTTTTTTATGGTGTACCTGAGAAACTCATGCGACCCAAGTAGGTCATTTGAGTAAAATACCCATTAAAAAAACCCCGAAAAAACTGATATTTTCTTTGAAAAAATGAAAATTTTACAACAAAAAAAACGAATTCGAACCGAACCCAAAAATAATCAAATCGAATCGAACCAAATTTTATATAAAAACCGAATGGTTATAGTTTTTCTATAACTGAAATAATTGAACCCGTATATAACCGAATCGAACCCAAACCGAAACCCGAAATGACCACCCCAAGAAGAACAATAATTTCATAAATCCAAATATTTTTTTGTCACAAAAATCAAATACAGAAATTTGAAAGTGAACATAACATTGCATGGTTGGTTTAGAGAGTAATGACATAAGTTGAAATACTTGGAAACAACAAACATGAAGTTTGCTCTAACTACAGATATACATATATATATATATATATATATGAACAAAAAGCTAAACATTGTATACCTTCAAGTTCAAACTAAAGAAGCTTACAAACAAACAAACAACAAGATTCAAAACAAAATGGTCCCTTCCATCATCCACATGTATCAGCGAGCGTTCATTGCAGCGGCTACGAGTTGCACCTCCTCCATTGCTGAAACCGCCGCTTTCAACTTGTCGGTAGCCTCCTTCACTTTCTCTCTCTGCATTGACATCAACAGATTACCAATGAGTTTGCCATCCATCTCAAAATGACCTATCGGGTGTCCCCCCGACTTTTCGAGCAAGCTATTCTGACTTACTAATAACTCGTGCTTTCTCTTCCGTCTTCCATCTTCTTCTCGCGCTGCGTCTCCTGCTTCGGGTGTGGCATACTTTGTTTTCATCCATGGGTACATAAAGACAAGGACTTCACATAAGCAAGTGTTGAGCCCAAATGAGATCACAACACAAGGACTGACCAACAATTCAGACACTAGTCTTAATATTCATGGAACAGCAAAGCCAGAACTCTCAATCAACAGACACAGCTAACCATTCCTTTTACCTTCCGAGGGCGACCCCTCGGCCTTCCGGTGCGAGAGACACTGATAACACTGCGGAACTTGGGCGGACGTCCTCTCCTCTTGGGAGGAGACACTGCCACTGCTGTAGAAGCGGGAATGGCTGCAACCGGGTCATATGTGGTCTCCCTCCATTGCTTCACAGTGACGGGCGACACGAGCTTTGACTTCCTCGGCCTACCTCTCCCTCTGACAGGCGGCGCTGTCGGAGTTCCATCCTTCCTGGGACGACCCCTTGGTCTCTTTATAGCCAATGGGGATTCCTCAAACACGACAGGAACTGGCGGCTCGTTCAGATTCGTTGGGAACTCTGCGTCCTGATTGAAATCGGGCTTACGCTTCGGCGGTCTACCGCGGCCGCGTTTCTGAGCATCAGAAGCGGCGACGCCGGCGAGTTCTGGGCCTGAGTTATCGAGTACGCAGGAAAATTGGATTTCGGGAGGGAGACCGGAGAGAGAATCTAGAGATCTTGTCGCCATGAAGAAAGCACAGTTCTTCGATCAAGGGTCAACAGAGCAAACCCCTAAAACGAAACCACGTCACCAAACAAGCAACAAAAAGGAAAAAGATTCAGAAGAAGAAAGGATTAAGCTTTTCGGTGGTAAATTCAAATGCTAGGGTTTTTTTAGGTACCTTCTAGATAAGAGGAGAAGGACCCACGAAGAACCTTAGACCTAATCGGGAGTTAGTGGAGAAGAAAGCAGTCGATGCGAGGAGGAATATCGCCGAGACGCCGAGAGAGAGAGGGAGAGTGTCAAACGGTGGTCATGGGAGGAGCTAGAGAGAAAGGGGGTGGGGGGGTCCAAACGTCAGTCCGGACAGACAAATGCGAGTGGTTCCAATTTCTTCTTATATCGGCTTCCATGTCTGCCAACTCTTTGCCAAGACAAGCATTGATAGTTTTCTCTTGGATTTAAGAGCTGATTATCGTACCCAACTAAATCTCAAAACCTATATTTAGAACCCACTAGTTTGTGTCCAAACTCTTATATTGATTCAATTGTTCCCACGTATTTATATTGATTTAATTGTTCCTACGTATTTTTTACGTAGACTCTAACAATACCGCATAGCGACAACTACGACGCTGGCAGCTTCTCGATCGAGACCGTTCCTCGCCGCATCATGCGTATATCTGAAATCGTTTGGCTCTAATACCACTCGCCGCATCATGCGTATGTCCGGAAATTATTTGGCTCTAATACCAATTTGATAGACCCCACCCATTAATAATTAATAATAAATCCATTTAAATCTCAACCAAAATTAGAGTTTGTTGGAAGAGGATGTCCATGATTTTATATTAACTCAATTATTCCCACAACATGGACTCTAACAATGAGATTCCAACTAGTACATTCAAAACAAAAAACAGAGTCGAAGCAAAATAATAAAAACATCAGCAAAGTTACAGAGACAGACAATGGAAACATCCCTAACATCACTTTACACACATTCCCTACTCGCAACTTTTTTTTTTTGGTTAGAGACCACCCTCCTCCCGGTTTGGTCTTTTTCCGCCTCCAGACAACCTATAGAATAAAAATCCTCCAGAGAAAATTAAATAAAGACCCAACAACAACCTACTACTGAGAGACCCATCATCACATCACCCATAGAGACAACAACAAAGATCTGTCTTTGGGTTTTTATTCTCAGAACAGTGCTTCTTGCATTGCCTCTGCTTCTGTCTGTGCTTGCTCTAGCTCTTGCTCTTGCTCTTCTCCCTCTGCCCGGGCTCCTGTTTCGGGGTTTGCCTCTTCCGGCTGCTCTTCCTCCATGCCCTCTGGCTCCATCGCCGTAAGCCCTTCAAGCTCTTGGATGGCTTGCACCACAGCTTGATTATCACTTGTTAACTCGGATTTCAGCAAGTTCACAGCTTGCTTTACTTTTTCTTGCTGCGTCACCATCATGACACCAAACCCAGCATCAGAAAACAGTGAACAGCAACGAGGAGAGAGACCCAAACATTTCAACAGTTTTATTACTTACCAAAGTATCAAACTTTCGTTTGAGCTCTCCATAGCCCCCATCTTGCTGCCCAGAACCACCTCCAGTTACCCATTGCGCATTCTATTATGATGATGATCAATATATGGCAAGATCATCAAAAGTAAGTACAATAATCCACCATTCAAATAAGGAAAAAAAAAAGTTTTAAATGGCAAGAAAATCAAGTTAAGAACAACATAACTCACCACCAGTCAAATCAAAATATGATTTCAAAGGATTCTCAACAGCATTCATCAAGAAAAAATTTAGAGGGAATCAGAAAACCCACCTGAACTCTTAAATTTCTATCAATTAACCAAAATGATGCTAAAAGAAATCTCCAATTTAATTTGACTGCGACAAGGAAAGCCAAACACATGTTTCGTTCACAAACTACTTAGCCATGCTTCTCCATTAAAAAAAATTGCATAGCAAATATTAATGTTTACCAAATAAGGCAAGCCACGGACCACTTGAACTTAATTATCCAACAAGGGTACAATAAACAAAATGCACGGAGACTATATAAAGACAAGCCCGTACACATGAAAATCCATTTAAACTCTAGAAGAAGAAAAAAACTATTCAGTTACCCTGGAGCACTTGAAACGAACAAATTTTGAAGCAGAATGTGATGAATCAAATAAAGGTATATCTACAACCAAATGCCACCAAGTTGTTAACAATTTCTCTTCCATATCGACAGAACAGTAAAACGTCAAACAATGCAACAGTCGAAGGAAACTAGCCCAGAGTAGACATAACCGAGACCAATGCGGAGTCCGAGGAAAGAGGAGAAATGCGAAAGTACCTTTCTGGGTCTGCCGACGGGTCTGCCTGTGCGAGAAATGCGCCTCTTGGGTTTCATAGGCTTGCTGATGACACCGCCGATCTTCGGCGGCCGTCCTCTCCTCTTGGCCGGCAAAAAGCCTTCCTGAACCGGATTGCACTAATGGATATGTCGAAAATGATCGATAAGGATATGAAATGGTACATGGATTTTGCCATGGGTTTGGCTATGGGAGTAGGAATGAAGAAGTAAAAATTATCCTAGATTTTGCCATGTCTTATTGTTGGAGGCTTGCTGATGACACCGCCGATCTTCGGCGGCCGTCCTCTCCTCTTGGCCGGCAAAATCTCCGCCGCCGTATCCCCGCTTTCTGCGTTGGTCGGAGCCACAGTAATACCAGAATCAACCCTCTTCGGCCTACCGCGGCGTTTGGCACCGTTGGCCACGTAGGCGTACACTGTTGCCGGGGCCGCCACAGATTTAGGCTTCCTTTGTCTCCCTGCAGCCCTCCGACCCGGCGGCCTTCCCCTTCTCTTTATGATCCCAGTCGCGGCAGAAGACGGTGCCGGAGCGGCACCTCCGTTCTTCTTAGGACGACCCGGTGGGTTCCTGCTCGGCTGAACCTCCTCAGATGACCGGGAGACAGACATGTCGTTTTGTTCCCAGTTGGTCTGAGCTTGACCGTTGGGCTGAACCGTAGCCTCGCTGGGTTGAGCCTCGGGTTTGGGCTTCGGTGGTCGACCTCGCCCGCGCTTCTGAGCAGTTGGAGCAGACGCAGCGGTAGGGGCGCCGGTCTGATCATGCTGAGGCTGGTCGTTGGCCGTGTTACTGGACAGATCAGATCTGGGAGCTTCGAGACCAGCAGCGGCTGGGGGGTCGGCGGAGGAGTGGAAGCGAACTTGTAGGATTTCTTAACCATGATAAGGACACCACTATTCTTTAGAGTCTTCAGGTGGTGAGTCAACAAGGCCCCATGAGCCATAGGTAAGCCCGTATACGCTCGCTCGATGTACCTCGATATCGCCTGCTTGCTCGACCCGTCAGGCTCGTTCAACGCCGCAATCGCCGAGCATATCATCTGCTCAAACACAAAACATCGTCAATTTCACTTCCCGAACACAGACAATTAAAAACCCTAACCTAGTAGAAGAGAACCGCAGCCACGAAGCTAGGTTGGCTTACGTCGGAGTAAGGAGGATGGTTGAAGGAAGGATGTGGTGGAAGCAGAGCTGCAGTTTGCGGAGCTGGAGCCGGAGCAGTCGGCGGCGGTGGCTGAGTCGGCGGCGCAGCTTGAAAGGCATGGTTGTTGCTTGCGACGACAGAGGCAGGGTTAACGGAACCGGCGAAGAAGGGGTGACTCGGAGCGGAGGAGAAGGGATTGGCGACGGAGAAGGGAAATCCGGCGAACTGAGGCGGAGGATGGTGCTGAGGGTCACTGGATATAGAGAGAGAAGGATCCATGAGGATTTAGAGAGAGAAACAGAGGAAGGTGAGATTTGATTTTTAGGGCTTTTTTTCTTTTTTTGGGTCTTTTATTTTCCGGAAATTAAAATTGTGAGGGATAGGATGGGGAAGAGAGAGAGAGATGAAGATCTGGCCGTTAAAAGTGGCATATGCTTCTCATCTCCATGGGGATCGGTGACGTGTCATTATATTTTTTCATTAATATATCGTTTTGTGTTTCTCTGCTGATTATTTCATCTTACAATAACAATATCACGTTCACGGCTATGCGCTTCATCTTATTTAAAATAAATATATATATATGAAAGTCGATGGATGGGTCTCCTTGTTTTCAGTGTACCAAAGGGAAAATCGTGAGAATAAAATTCATTTAGTTTTAATATAACATTTCATTAGTATAAAAAAAAAGTGTTTATCATCTTTACAAGATATATATATTTTTTTTTTGCAACCAAGTGTCGTAGATCCAAAGTTCAAATTAATTTTGGAATCGAAAAAAAATCATGTGATTATAATATGCATCACTCTTCTCAGTTTGAAATTCGAATTCGGAACGAGATAAACGCTATGAATCCCTATTTTACCGAATGAACATTGATTTACAAAATATAAAGTTGTGGTATATAGTCAAATCTTTTATTTTATAGCACAAGACAAGGTATTCATTTTACAAAACAAATATCTAAACACATGTTTTGAATCCATGACATTTGAACATGTAAACAAAAATATAAACTACTATATTTAGAGCATTTATTACAAAAACAACAACCATGTGTTAGTTATAAGTGCATTTTTTGTAAGTATCATGCTAATTTGGATTTGGTTTTAATTATTTCAATTCTTCAAAATGGATATGTGTCCATATGCGCAATAATATGTTACTGTAACCAACTGTTTGATTTTTTTTTTAGAAAACTAGATGTACTTTATTATTTATTATTGTTAGGTACTTTTTCATTCGACTTCAAATCATGTATATGAATGTTACCAAAAAAATTATTTCATTCAATTTTTTATTTATCCTGTTATTTTTGTTGAAATTTTTTTATTGAATTTTATTTTAAAATAGAACTTGTTTCAAATATATATAAAATGTTGACCGAATTAATTAATGTGATATTAAAATTGTGAGCAAAACATTCAAATGTGGTATTAATTAATGTCCCATCATATTAAAATCATTTGGTTGTGATTGCCAACGGTACTGGCTCATGCTAAGCTTATCCATATACCGCAATTAATTAAGAAGTTAATTTGTTTATTTGGGTGTGGCACCACATCTAAACAACAAAATAACCATAGGATATATGTGTATACATATATATTATCATATTTATTAGGGACAAATCTAAAAATAACCTTCAACTTTCACACTTACACAAAAAAATCTTTTACTTAAAATTATTTATAAAAAACCATCAACTATTAATTTTGAGCAAAAAAGACCGTAAACTATATAAATTATTTAAAATCAATTTCTCATTTTAAATTTGTTAAAAAAATTTATCAACTATCAATTTTAATAAAAACAATTATCATCTATCTAAATTACTCAAAAAAATATAATATTTTATATTTATTATAAAAATCTATAAAATTTAAATAGAAAATATATAGAAATAATTCTAGAAGTATAAGAAAAATATAATATTTTAATATTTAATATTTATATAAATATTATAAACATCAATCTACATATAATAATATACAAATATTACACTTAAAATTGAGTACATTTTATTATTGTAAATATTATATTTAAAATTTTATCATATATTAATATTTTAGAGATTTCAAAATTGTGTATATTTTATTGGTTGTACATATAAGAGATAACATATATATTCTAAAATAAAATAAAAATATGGTAATTTTTACATGTAGTATTGTAAATTGAGTATATTTTATTTTCTATAGATTTTTATATATAGAATAGAATATTTTTTTATAATTTCAAATCGTTGATGAATTTTTTTATTGAAATTATTATAGAAATTTATGAAACAAAAATTAATTGTTATAAAAAATCAAATTAATAGTTTGCAACCATTGAAATACTAAAATGTTACAATATGATAAATTTAAATAAATATTATGTTTGTTATTGTGATTTTTAGGATTATATAATTTATATATGTTTTCTATCCAAATTTAATAGATTTTTATAATAAATATAAAACATTATATTTTTTGAGTAATTTAGATAGATAATGATTTTTTTTATTAAAATTAATTATTGATGGTTTTTTATAATAAATTTAAAGTAAAATATTAGTTTTAAATAATTTATATAATTGATGGTATTTTTTGTTTCAAATTAATAGTTGATAGTTTTTTATAATTAATTTAAGTAGAAGGTTTTTTTTGTGTAAGTGTTATAGTTGGAGATTTTTTTTAGATTTGTCCCTATTTATTACGGGTTAATTATAACTAAAAATGAATTACACTTTCATTTTCCTCTTCACTTAATGTTCACAATTCAAGTGGAGAAAAAAATAATTCATTTACGAAAAGTAAGGGTGAGTGTTTTGATTCGATTCTTCGTAACCGAACCATACCCAACCGAAAATCTCGATATTTTTTTCGAATCGTACCATTCAAAATTCTTAAACAGTATATTTTTTATAGAATCGAATTTTCCGTAACCGAACTTTATAAAATTTCTGAAAAACCAAAATTTTCTTAAAAAAATCTAAATTTCTAACAAAAAACGGAACCGTAGTGAAACCAGAATTGAACCGAATCGAATAATATATGCTACTAATTTGATACAAATTTTAGAATACCGAATAAACCGTTCCCGAATCAAATAGCTAAAATTTCGAAGCGAAACCCAAAATGCTCACCTTTGATAAAAAGACGTGTTATATTTTGATATTTCATTTTTTGTACTCTTAGATCAAATTTTACGCATCCAATATTTGTATTATACATTGTTAATACTTCGGTAAACTTTTATGATAATAATAATAACAATAACTTATTATTATTATTATTATTATTATGAAAAAATTATAAGAACAATAATTTTAATTTATCAAATTTGTCAAAATAAAATCCGAATTATTTTTTTTATCAAATAGATCCTGAATTGTCAAAAAAACCATGCTTTTAAAATTGTATCATATTTAAAACTTAACGCTAACATGACATTTCAAAATTCGATCAAAATCAGATCAAGTTATCATTTAAAACGGAACTTCGACATGGAATGTTTAATATGATATAATTTTGAAAAATTAGATTTATTTATAGAAAATATTAGAATTCAGGAGAGTTCAGAAATTTGTTTTGTAAAAAATTTAGTTCGGATTTTATTTTGGTAAATATGATAAGATAAGGTATTATTATTCTAACTAATAAATACCAACGCGATGTGCGGGTTATATTCCAAAGTGTTGATGTTACTAAAAGTTTAAGCAGGGTAGATAAGAGGCAGACTCATAAGAAGGGAAGTAAGAAAGCATCAGTGGAACGGAAAGTTAGGGTAGGTACTTGGAATATCGGATCGCTTACGGGGAAGTTAATGGAACTTGTAGACACAATGAGTAGAAGGAGAGTGAACATTGCTTGCATTCAAGAAACTAAATGGGTAGAAGAGAAAAGTAAAGAGATTGGTAATACGAGTTTTAGATTGTGGGATTCGGGTCAAGAACGCAGTAGAAATGGGGTGGACATTATCTTAGATAGGTCTTTGAAGGAGTCGGTGGTTGTAGTAAAACGAGTAGATGATAGGATCATCCTAGTGAAATTAGTTATAGAAGAAGTTATCAACGTGATTAGCGCGTATGCCCCGAAAATATGATTAGATAGTGAGTGTAAAGAGAAGTTTTAGGAGGACAGAATGACCTTAGGCAAAGTGTACCGTCCGGAGAATCTATTTTTATTGGTGGAGATTTAAATGGATATGTCGAAAATGATCGATAAGGATATGAAATGGTACATGGATTTTGCCATGGGTTTGGCTATGGGAGTAGGAATGAAGAAGTAAAAATTATCCTAGATTTTGCCATGTCTTATTGTTGGGATTCATGGGATCTATACAACCAATCTAATTCCTAAAAGATCGATTCTAGGGTTGCGCAGCGGATGTAAAACAAAAAAATTTCTAATAAACCCTAGAACCATGCATGTATGAATCGTAGAAACGTTAGAACGCTTATCTCAATCAATCTGGAGCTGTATCAATTGATGTGTTCGTCCGATCACAAAAGGGAGGAAGATTACCTCGCCCTCTACACGTATCCACACATCGGGATGCATTCCAATGCTTGTCTACTAGGATCCGAATCTGCTATTCGGTGATGTGCTACGAGAAAACGGGATTTAGATCACTCCTCATACCCTCAAGTCTCACCAAAAAGTCTATAGAAGCTTTCTTTTTCGTCCCTTACATACTAAGGTTCTTAATCTCCTTCTTATAAAGTGATTAACCCTAATTTTGGTTTAATTTCGAAAAACTCGAAAGCCGGAACGGACGGTCCAGAGACAAACGTGGACCGTCCGTTCTAGACATTTCGGAACGGACGGTCTGGGTTACGTGGACCGTCCGTTCCAGACATTCTGGAACGGACAGACTACCACATTCTGGACCATCGGGTCTAGATCTGCTGGACCGTCCGATTCAGCTACGTGGACCGTCCGGTCCAGACCTCCTGTTTCGGTTTTTCGTCGTTTTCTCATGTATTTGTCCTTCTCTGCGTGTGTGACCCTGTAGACTCATCCGATATAATAGTATAATCGAAATCTCCATTTCGGGTATACAAGTCATACGCGGTCTCTACCAAGACACTATGATTACCTATCTCGAATAGAGTTTGTTCGTGATCTTACGAATGTCAATGATGATTCCGGTTGATGATCCTTTTGTATCATGATATCATATGTCGAATATAAGGCATGGAGAAGCCACCTTATCTGATTCGACTGCTTTCTCGTTCACAGAGTTCTACTGTACGGAATAGATGACGTTCGTCTATAGTATGGATACACATTTCTATAGTCTCGCTCACACGAGGGGTCCAGCGATATCTCTCTCTTTTA